CCGAATTACCAGCACAAAAGGCCACGATGTTACCGGAATGAAGACACATGCTGAGAGCAGCTACTACAAAAGTTGAAAAAAAATGTGTCGGAGAAAAAATTTGTGAATCAGGGACAACGCATTTCGCGTACATACACATTTCAAGCGATACGCTGTTTTCCGCAATTTTTCTCTTTATTTTACCAAAAATACGCTCAAACACATTATCTATACAATGGATAGTTAATTCTCGCAAAACAAAAGGTAATTAAACTAAAAGATGTTCAAAATTCTATGGTATATCCGGGAAATTAAAAAGAAAACTTTAAAGGTTTCTGCTGCTCTCTACTATTATCCACTGCAGAATCTCATCCTGTTCCTGAGTAATCATTTATAATTATCCTGTAGTAGATAAGAGATCAACCTAAATATCACGTGCAATGAAGACATATTAAGAAACAAACAGTATTTCATCCCTTAGCTGTAAACAAAGACCGCACGCAGAATATCGGTAGGAATGGAAATCATCAGTACAGCTTCTTGCCATGTATGGCGAAAACTGTACTCACCAACCGATATTTATTGTCTGGTTTTATTTGTGAGTACTTCCAACAAACTGTTCAAATATTCATTCGCTGAAAATAATAACTTTTATGCCCAGTGATTCCATAATCTTTACTCTTTTCGGCTGTATCACTGAGCAGCTACGTTACACTTACCTCAAAAAATTATAAAAGAGGGAAAATGAGGAATGTTATTGCCTCGTTGTCCTTGATAAAAATGATTGGTCTACACGCGCATTTACTAATCACATTTATTGCACAACTCATCCAAAAAAACTGCCCAGACAACAAAGCCAACTGCCTAATCCAAGGCCTTCTGAAAGCGGCACGTACTAACCGAAAATTATAAAAAATTTACAAAACTGGAATTGTGTTGAATAACATACACCCGAAGTACAATTTAACATGTTTTTTCGCTTGTCCCACGATATTCGGGATGAGCCAGTACACACAAAGTGGCATAGTAACCGTTACGGATGCACCGAATCTTACTGGATTGCTAAAGATTCGAACTTTTGAATACTTCCGACTCACAGTCATATGTACAAAGGTATACTACCAGAAACTTTTCAACAAGCATCAACATTTGGGGAAAAACGGAGGAAGGGGGGAGTGAGGGCAGATTTTGTCTTGATCACCTTGCAGTTCCAGAAGAAATAATGGAAAGCTTGGTATTTGAAATCGCAATCTAACGCGCATCATTAAGGTAAAATATTCATTTAACAACACTCAGTAATTTAAAATTTTATGAAAGCGTTGTCCGCCGATCACAATATCAGCAAAACTTTGGACTCGAGGATGATCAGGAAGTTGATCCTACATGCAGAGTCCCCTGCATAATCGAGAAGTAATCTATCAAAATTCTAGCATCCTAACTTTTCCAGTTCCGATCTTGATGTTAAACACACACACATAAATGTACATACACACACACACGCAGATGCACATGCACAGACACACACACACACACACACAAACACACACACACATATACAACACAGGCACACGAACTCGTACTTGTACAAACAAACGTCCGCCCACCACATGCACACAAACACACATACATATATACACACACATACACACACACACACACACACTTGCAAGCACACACATTTTATCTACGATAAATTTATTTAGGAAAATCGATGGTTTTTCAAAAACAAAAACATCTGGCAATTATTCAAGTTCTAGTTCACGGCAATATACCTATTAATTTAAGCGAAAATGAATTCAGCCAAATTTACCACTATTTTTACCGCATCCCAGTAAGACTGATCACTAAAATGGGGATACTCTCACTGATAGCCCGGGCGATCTTGGCATTTTTGGTGACTACTGCATCAGTTCCATCACAATATTTATTTCTTTTCTTTTTTACAAATACAAAAAAGCACAGAAAATTGTTGGAAAAATAATACATTTGCAAAAATTTCAGTGAAAAAAAGGGAAAAACAATATGATGAAAAAAAAAAAAATCGAACTGTATGAAAAAACATTGTTTTTGGGCAAAGCATGACGAACAGATCCAGAAATAAACAACAGCGCCCTGGTCAGGAGGTTTATTACAAGCAAAAAGGACAGTAACAGCAGACCCTGTTTCATGGGCGGAGGAAGGAGAAGGGGAGGACCAAAAGCCGATTTTGTAAACCATTTGTGTGAAACATACTGATACAGATATTTTGTTTTACAATAAATATTTAGAGAATTTTGTGCTCGGCATCACTGACATCGCTAACATACGATTCCCAAAACGATTGGCTCAAAATGGGCCTGGTATTTAAATAAACAAAAATCTTGTTAACAGTAGAAAAGGATCTAAAACAGACTTGTCGGCAATAAAAAAAAAACCTAAAAATGTCAATTTTCTCAAAAAAAAATCAAAAAATTAAAGGGTATTTTAAAAAAAATGGATGCCTGGTTCCAGATTCAGGCTATGCCGACGACAAAAACTAATCACACACACAAAAAAAACTTCCCATATCAAGCTCAAAAATCAAATATTCTATCGTACAAGTAAATAAATGAATATGGTGCACAGCTGGAAAAACCATACAGCGAATCACATTTTTGATCTACTTATTCATGTATTTACATATATTTATCTATTTATGCCGACCAGGCCTGGCGTAAGTTGCACCCAAAGTATGTGGGAGCATCATAGTAACATCACTAACATGGGATAACACCGCATCGACTGTCCGAGCAGTCTTGGTAATTTTGTTATTTATATCCAGTAAAAAATAAGAAATCTGCCTAATGTTGAAAGATTGAAAATTTTTATTTTAATCACTTTTATTTGTGATTTTTCCTCCCTGCTTCCCATGCATGCATTTATCACTTCTAATTTACACTTAAACAACCTATTTTCCACTTTTTCAGAAAATTTAAAATCATTCTAAATCAACTGAAATTTGGATAAATTTGTAAGCTTTAACAAATCTGCGATTAGACCGAAATCCTCCCTCGACCAGTTGCGCTTCAGCGACCGTAAGTTTACAGCAGACATTACACGTACGTCTTGAATAAAACTTTCAAAACGCATCCAGACATGGGACGAGTAGAGATAAAACGAGGAAAACAGAGGCAAGACAAAACTAGAGAAAACAATGGCAAGATAAATATGCCATGAGATTCGCAAAATTCCTGGTCAAGCAGTTGGAGAAGCACTTTCGGT